AAAAAAATGAGAATGAAGCGAAATGACATATGAAGCTTGGATTGCATGCAGAGGGCATAATTTTCTTGACATGTTAGAGGAGTAGGGGTAAGAGTAGAAGAGAACAGCAGAAATAGAATTAGTGAGAAAGATATGTTTTTTTGTGAACTGTACTATAGCTGTTCTTATTTGTTAATTGTTACTTCATTTTTTCTGTGGCCTCTTTTATTTTAAGGTAATGAGGGAATACTGGCATGCCAGCTACTTCCATCTGTGCCCTGTCTGCTGCACTGTCGTACTCACTCAGGGATGCTGGCTCTGTGGTTCAGATCACCTTGTTCTGCTCTTCCAGATGGTTTGCTTTATCAGTGTCAAAAGGTGATGGAGGAATCTTAATAACAATAGTGCCTGCCTTAAACTGTTTTGTGTGTGAAAAGCAAATCAAAGATTTATACAGTTGCACAGATAATTACCAAAGCTAAATTAAGATAGTGCTGCTCAGAAGTATTTAAAAGTTTTCTTCCAGCTGGCATATGTCATGTGGACTTGTGGGGGAAGAACAGTGACCTAAATTATGCCTGCAAAAACATGCTCAGGACTGTACAGTGACTAACGAGTAATCCATTAAAGTATTGTTACCTGATTGAGTGAAATGTATATTTCTTAATTTTGTTGTAAATGATTGAAAGTATTTATTTTTATTATGCAGCTTTTATAGATGCCAACAACTATTCCTCATAGCAACTATTTAAATATGATTTTAAATAAAACATATCTCCATTATGAGGTCTGACTTGATCAGTTATCAGGATCATCTAATATTATTTTAATAGTTTTTCTAAAGCTATTTTTAAGCACTGCTGGCAACAAGACCTGTATTGGTCGTTATATAAAGTAACTTATGTAGCAACGAATGCATGTTTTGAAAATAGTTAAAGATCTTAGGGAGCAACACACTTCCCATGATCTTTGATATTTCCCATTCAAGGGGTAACATCTGAAAAGGTTTCTGGTAGGAGGCAGGCTTGTGAAATTGTAAGGAAGCACCTCCTGGGGGATGATCTAAGTACCCTTCAGGTTAGTTCCTGTCTGCAGTTCTTCCTGCCTCATGTTTCAGTCATGTTCCCTTTCCTTAGAGGTCTGTGACAGTCACTGAATATTTGTGCATGGCTAAAGATAAGTTTCATGTGGATCAAGTCTGAGATGGCTGAGCTGGGGAGGTAGTTGGCTGTGGACGTGTTCATTGCTCTCTAGTCAGTCCTGTAAATTTAATCTGGCCAATATCTCTGTCTGTGAAAATTCACATGGAAGAAATTGTCATTTATTTTTAATTCGAATTATTTATAGCTTCAGTATGACTCTTCAAACCTTTGACTTGCACAGATGTGACTGTATTGTGAGGGCATGGCTAAGAACTGCAGTAAGGCATAAGAGATCTAAATCAGAGCAGCATAAGTAAACGTGTCTAGATGCTCTCCATTTCTTCCTGAAATAACCTCACAGTCATGAAAATCCAGTAATCTTAATTTATTTACATGCTAAATGAAAACTTTAATACTGTTTAATGTTATTTATAACTGATCATGTTTTTTATTTAAAAACATCAAATATTGTACATGTGGTTCAGACATGGTATAAATTAATTCCTCTGTAGAGTCCTCGGTGTGTTTAATATGGAGAAGGAAATTCTTTGTTATATTTAAGTGTTACTGTTTCTCACCTGATAAGCACTGGTTATAAAGGAAAAAGAAGTATTTGGTTACTTTGCTAATGTTTTGGTAAATGTTCATAAAATCATCAAATCATCATAAGAAAGTTAATGCGCTCATAGTTTTTTTTCTTCTTTTTTTACGACAAACCACTTGTGTTATCATGAGTATAATCATACAAACAAAGCTCCTTTTTTATTGCTGTTTCTGTACCCTCGTACTGAGGAATTTAAAGTGCACTGAACCTGTAAATATACTTAATGTTCTGCATACTTTAATGTTTACTTGGCACTTTGAGACAGTTTGTATAAATGAAAACTGATTTATAGTGGAATAATTTCCAGCAAGCTGTTTCCCTTCTGGTAAATCAGACTTGTGTTATGCAACTGGACTTCTGTAATCATATGAACTATAATAGAGGTATCTGTCTGTGGCCTATGCATTTTGACCATTTCAGCAATGAGATGTTCAGTGTCCCAGTGTTTAAAAAGAACAGCAAAAAGACAATATTGCCTTCTATTGATCATACAGTGTTCTTTATAACCTTTTCACCATATGAATAGTGTATGTTAAGCTGTCAATATGCAGATTTGAGGAGCTTTATGGTAACATCACATAAAGGAGTTTGCAGGGAATTGTACCTGTGTCAGTCTTTATTTTTAGATTGCCCAGCAAATATTTTTCTTAAGTCACCATCTTTGCATTTTTCATAGTTTAATAAAATTCAGTTTAATTAAAAAAAAAAAAAAAAAAGCTTGATACTTGTTAAATATTCTTTACTACCATATGTAGCAGTGTTTCTGCATGTCAAGAACTAGGTTCTATTTTAATTGTTTCTCTTTGCATCTGAACAGTGATAAAGAATGTAACATTGCAGAAGTCTTGAATCCATTGGTGATTTACACGTCCTGCATCTCACCTATAAAAAGGGTAAAAGGGTACACTTTAGATCTGTTGAACAGCATTCTGCCTGCCAGCTCATGTTATCCAGTACTCTTTGGAATACTGCCAGATGGTGGGATTTGTACTTAGGCATCACAGGAGACTTTAGGGTCTCTCTTTATTTATAGTTGACAGCAATAGCATGTTTTTAAGTCACATAACACACCATTTGCTACAGTATTGAGGAGGAGTTGGGAGTTTGTGCAGTTTGACATCATTGCTGAATTGAAGGTGGTCGCAGCCCTGACCTAAGCCGTGAGGCTGTTTGTGTGGCAGGGCTGTTGGTGTGTAACGAGTGCAGGCAACGCTGCAGTTCTGGCTGGTGTGGGACCTCAGGCCCTTGAGAACCCCAGCAACTCAGGGCTGGGAGTCCCTCTGATCTTGATCCATCATCTAGTTGTCTCTAAAATGAAATATGGCTGCATAAGTAATTACACAGAGGAATATTTTTTCATCTAGCTCTGTACTGAAAATCCTTCAGCAAGTATCTTTGTCTTCTGTTGTGTTCCCATTTACTTCTCTTTGACTTACTAGATCTTGAAGGATTAAGCTGTTTTCAGGGAAAGGGAAATCAGGTACGTAGAAGCAGGCTAAAAGGAAGAGAGCACATAATCCAGTTAGCATGAAGTTTACTTTCAAGAGGCAACTAGAGGCCAGTCAGAGTCTGAACTGGCAGATTAACAGCATTTTGGACCAAACCCCTAGGTACCAGGAGATGCTACTGTTTTACTGCTCTGTGCCATGGGCAGCTTGGAGTTCTGGGTGTTTTAGAGTCAACAGATAAGTGATTGTATTGGATCCATATTTCAACTGTTTTGTCAAGTTCTCCCCACTTATCCCAAGTATTTTCAGATATTTTTAATGGTACAAATACTTTGGTAGGGAAAATGGTGGAAGGGCAACACGGCAGTATGATGTAGTACGCTTTCCTAAACATAAATCGTATCTGTTGTTGTGTTATATTACTTTCTGCTTGGTATTCCCAACCCCTTCTCATCCTCTAAGGATCTGAGAGAATAAATTTGTGTAATGGATGGCACTATATTGAGGTTTTCCTGTTTGCAAGTAGCTCATAAATAACATTGCCTGATGGTTTCTAAACATTGGAAAGGTAGTTATCTCAGAGTCCCACTAGTAGTTTTTCAGCGTAAAAAGCTGTATTATTTTTTCTGTGTAAGACTGTGCATTGTCTTTTTCTGGCATGGAAGTAGACCCGCTTAAGTCTTCCACTTAAAACTTGTATTTGCATTTTTGTCTCTATAAGAGTTAATTGTGCTTTACCTCCTGGTTCTCTTCAGGGTCAGCTATTTATATGCCTTTCTGTGAGAATGTTTCTCTAACACAAATCAGATTACATGTTCAGTGTGACGTACTGTGATATGGTACATGTACAATTTAATTAGAATGCCCGAAGTGGTCACTCCCTTGAGAGTTTCTTGAACATTAACATTTTTCTCTTTAACTTTATTACATAAATTTGGCAGAGATAAAGCAAAGAATATTGTGTCCTGCCATGATATGATTCATAAAATTAAGCTGACAGCAGTGTTTTAGCGGCAGTGTGGCTTAAAACACCACTTATGAAGATTGCTTTACACATTTATTTTAAGGTAGTTGACGGTTTTCTCTTTGTGCCAATCTTTAATTGCTTCCAGTATAATTGCCATGCGAGTTGTTTGCAAACCCTGAGCTGTTTCAGCCAAAAAAAGTTTGCCTTTTCCGGGAATAAGAAGAGAAGAATGTACGCTTGCTACTGTTAAAATATTCTGGTAGGTTCTAGCATCTCCATGTTTAGGTCAGGGATTTGAAATCTGCCAGGGATGTGTCTTCTGTCTAACTTAAATCACACTGAGCTAAATAAAGCGTGGAAAACTTGCAAGAGGGTGCTTGGTAGAGAATGGGATCTTAGGACGTTACATCTGCTCTGGCCCTGACGCAGGCTGCCTGTCCGGCTTCTGGGCGCCGCGCCCTGCCTGAAGGCAAGCAGGCAGGGCCCCTTCCTCCGCAGGGCTTGGCAGGGAGCTCCTCACCTGGGCCCGAACTGCACTTCGAAACACGCCGGGTCGGCACCATTTGTTAGCTCAAGTGCTTGAGAACTTGGTGGAAAACACAAGTTTCATTTGCTGATGAAGCATGTGTGTGTTGTGTGTGTGTGAGAACAACAGAACATGTGGATTTCCAGGTTTCTTTTAAACACTTAAACTGGGTGTCTCCTTACCTCCTGCCTTCACAAAATCTGGTCATCGAAGAGCCTTAAGGTTGTAGAAGTTGAAGGTGACAAAACTTAGATGACACAAATTTCTTCCTCTTACTGTTTAATTTCAGTTTACATTGGGTGGTAGAATAAATAAATAAAAAGGAAACAAAAGAGGCAGTAATCACACATTTTTAATCCACAAATATGATAATACATCATATACTTAAGGTGACCTGAACATTGCCCATATTTTAGCAATGTTATTACATACCAAGCTACAAGTACAAAAGTAAACAATGAATATACAGGATATGCAAGTATGAGAAATACTTGAAAACATTCTCTTTCCTTAAGGCTACTCTGATTTATAAATAAAACAACAGATGTTCAACTGGTGTGTCTAAAATACCAGAATCTGAATATTGATAACTTGCAACACACAGAAAGTCACAGATACAGGATATCCTTTTCCTTTGCACATCTTAAATGTTGAATAATCTCTTGCTGGCTTTAAAAAAAGAACTTAAATTTGTTTGCCACAAGTGAAACAAACACGCAAAATCTGACATGTGCACTGGGACAGGAGTGGTAGATACAATAAATACTGTTCAAAAGCATCAGTTGACAAGTACGTGCTTGGAAAAAATGCAGCTAATGGTGCATGTTAATATGGCTCTGCAAATGGCTGAACTTGCAACCCCAAATGTTGGTATTTCATTACTGTGCTGTGTTGCAAAGGAATTGTCCACCTTCTTTGCTACTAAATACACTTCTTACAGGAAATATGTGGGGAAAAATTGCATCCTTACAAACTGCTCTGCTAACTTCTTGTGCTGCCATTTTTATCGTGCTCCGAAATGAGTTCTCCTGGCAACAGATAAAAATGCATCTAGCACAACTCAAGTGAATACATGATCTGGGTAAGTGTATTCTCAACTGTATAAAGGTATGATAATCAAAACTGTTGTTGCAAGAGATAAAATACAGTTATTCTGGGGTGAGGAAAGACAGAAGAATAATACAATTTTGAACAGTTTTCACTACTATCATAATATTTAAGAGTTTAAATGAGAAACATAAATTTTTCTTATCCTAAAATAGTAAGTGATCAACACTGGAAGTTTTCCATAGAGAGGAAGGGTTTCCAAATATATCTTCTTGTCTGTCAATTTTCACGTACGTGCAGCTCTATTATATGTGATATGGAAGGTGTTACCTCCAGATAATAGGATTGTTTGCTATCTGTGTCAACTAAAAGGAGATGGTACGTGATACTGAAGTGTAAGTAGATAGAGGTGAGTCTGGAGGATAAGAAGTAGAGGGCAAGGGGAGGAGAGATTTCTGAATGTATTTCATTTACTTAGACTCGGTCCGCACCTACCCAGCTGCAAGATTCTGCATGTGGCAAGCTGGTGTATCTGCTCTGTTCCCGTTCTCTCTCAATCCAAACAAAACTTAACAGAAACGGTTATGTCTTTGTATAATGTTTTCAGTTTGAGGACACGGGTATATTTTGTTTAAAGAAGAAAAAGTCACTGAAAACATTCTGAACAAAAAAAATCATTCATGAAGCTCACCAGAATTGCTAAGACTGTTCTCTTAAGACTACTCTGGATATATACTACACTTGGATGGCACTTCAAGCATTGTGGACGGGGTTCCTTTTTTATCGCTCTGTTGTACTGTAGGCACAAATTAACATCATTAAACTGGGAGTTTTATCTAGGCTGAATATTTTGAGGGTAGGGGAAGTAAACATTTCGTCCATCCATTGGTGTCTTCACAAGTGCAATTTCAAAATCTTCACAAAGAGTATTTTGTTCTGCTAGGCAAAACAGTAAGATCATAAAGAGCAGCACAACCTTCAGCCTAAACTTGTCTGATGTTGCCAAATATGCAAACCCTGAGAGTGGGGAAACTGATATAGTACTTCATCTAGTTTTCTGGTTACTTTTGAGCTTGAACCACTGAGCTGCTTTTCAAAATTAAAATGAAACCTTCTCTCTGTTATTAGCAGATATAAACCAAAACTCTAATAGAAATATTGCAGTTCTTCAAGTTTTCTCCCACTTCTGCTCAGTTGTATTATTTGTTATTCCCTTATTAGACTTAAATACCGTGTAAAATCAGAGATGCCTTCTCATCTTGATTCCTGATCCTTTTGAAAGGAGTGAGCTTAATCCATTACAGCCCTACTTTCTGGCTAGGCTTTTTCAGTAAGCGTGAAAATAATAAAAACATACGCACCAAGGGCCTGGGGGTAGATCCATGCGTTGCTCTCTTGCCTTCACCTGTCTATTTTTACATAGCCATGCATTTGAGTTTACTTTCTTTTCACATGTTCAGCCTTGAACACAAAGCTAGTAAGATCATAGTGTGTAGCAATCTGTTTCTGAACAATATATATCGGCAGCCTTGTTCACTCCGCTCCTTGGAAAAGACTGAATTATCTGAACACAGCATTAAAATTGATAGCTTTCTGATTTGTTTTCCACTTCATCGTGAGCCTGGTGAGCACCTTCTGGCCCCTGCTGGAGACTGGAGTAAGAGGCCGGTGGGAAGGAAGCTTGCTTGCTCACCATGGCTCACGAAGGGTGGCCAGTTCTAGAGAGAAGTTTTTGGTTGGTTTCTTATTTTTGAGCGTAGTTTCAAAGGATCTTCTCATCAAGTAGTTTGTTGATGCCGTCGCAGATCTTTTTGAGGTATGGCCGACAATCCCCATCAAGACTGTACAGGGCAGTTAGAAATTCCACATCTGCAAAGTGATTGAAGACATGGTTGATGCGCCCGTGGGATCTTGGTGTCAGGTGTCGATCTACTAGTTCATGCACAAGGTCTTTACATTCATTCAGAAGTTCTGCAAGAACATTTCTGTCAAAAGTGTATTCTACCTCGTAGAAACTGACAATTGTCATGGCAGTTTGGTTCAGCTTCTTCCTGAACTTGTCTACAATTTCCAGCTCTTCTTGGTTGAACTGATTATTTCGATAGAGGATCCCAATTTTTATTGCCACTTTAATCAGGTCTTTCATAATTTTATGGGCTTCCTTTTTGTTTCTTGTGTGTTCCTTTGTTACTTTGTACAGCTCATCAAAGATTTCACTGCTTGTGTCATCGATTAGCATGTTAGCCATGGTTTTGGTTGCCATTTTACTCAGGATCTTTTTCTGGGCTTGCAGGGCAAGATTCTTGGAACTGAAACAATCAGGACCTGTTTTGGGATGGCAGAGAAGAGGGAAAATGTTAATTTTATTTGGTGATTAATTTTCACAGTCAGATAAGAGAAGTAGTATCTATGTGCTTAACTGAGACATTATGTGTGTCACTAATTATTACATATAGTTATGACCGTAATAACGGGAACACTTCCAACCAGGTATTTCCCAGTATCCTTGGGGTCTCGGATAATCCATGTTTCAGGGCTTGTTGTCACTGAGGTTTTTTTCTTACAGATTAAGAGAATAGTCTGGCAGGGGATATCTGTTCTGGTTCTTTGCTAGTCTTATAATTTTGAAGTTCACTATTAAAGCTTTCTTGGCAGAGAGATGTTGTGGTTGAAATAATACGGGAGCTATCAGAGGCAAGCAAAATGAGATACTGACAAGTAAATACATGAACTTGCAAGAATTATACCTTTGGTCATTGGGAGGCACTGTTGTTCCACTGTTAGACTAAGCAGCATCTCAGGTAAGGGCTAATAAACCAGATTGATAGGTGTGGGTTTATTCTGTTTTATTCTCTAGTAACGATGCCTTTTCCATTTGTTACCCATTTGCAAAATTATAGAATGTGATTTTTGTAAAATGTTTGTGCTTCAGTGCATGCGGTTCCTGCCAGATGAAAATACCTGAGCTATTTGCTCTACCTTTAATCAAATAAATATCTTGAATGTTTTTACCTTTTGCCTTTCTGTGCAAGTTTCACTCAGCATAGCACCTGAGCATGTGGCTATTCCTGCAGGACTTAATCTCATGAACTTCTATAGTTATTGGTAGAGATTAATTTGATCTTCCTCTGGTTTTCACATTAATATTGGTTTTTAACTGACCATATATGGACAAAGTAAAGGAAATGGAAATATTCCATATGAACTAATCATCCAGTTTAATACTAGGGTAGTGAAGTCTCTGTTGGATCAAAGGGCTTTATTGTTGCAGCCAAACGGTGATGAGTGTGTGATTACTCGGGCTTACAGCCAGTGAGGCGAGTGCTGAGTGCCAGCAGAGTGGCCTCTTTGGTACAAGACACCTTCCTTGCCTTCCCCTCACATCTCCTCTCAGTATTTGCTCACACGAAGGAGATGCCCATCATCTTTCTGTGTCGGCTGGGGCCCTGGCTCTGCTCGCTGGGAGAGCAGAGCCTTGGCTGGTGCAAGGGGGATGGCGATAACTGCGTCCTGCCCCAGCTGCTGGGAGATCAAACCACTGAGAGATTAACAATAAAACTCAAAGCTTCCAGGGCTGGTGTGATTTTGGAGCCGGAGTGGGTTTTAGGCCGGTTGGGTGAGCTCCGGAGGTGTTTTCCAGCCTCCGGCCCGTCCGTGCTGTCGCCCCGCGGCGCAGCCGTCGTCCCTCAGTGCTGGGGGTGCAGTCTGACCCGCAGCCTCGCTCACGCTGCCCTGGGCTCACCGCAGCATCACCGCCCTCCCCCTGCTCCCCGCAGCCTCATGTGAAGGAAAAAGGCGTGCTGGGTGCCAGTGCTCACTTCAAATAAGTAACACTCTGAATTTAAACAGTCTTCCGTTTAAATTCTGTTTCTCAAGTTAGCTGGAATATTAAAATTGTCATCTTCCTTTGTGTGCTATAGCTGTACTACTGAGTAATATGAAAGAGTAACATTTAATTTCAACTGAACCACCACCTGGAAAAAGTAATTCAGTGTGCTTAAAAGAATTGCCTGTCATTTGGAGAGAAAATTGTGGGGCTGAGCTGCTGACTGGAGGAAATAGAAAAACTGATTTATCAGAAATGATAAAACTAGGATGAAAGCATTCTTTCACTTAGCAGTACGTGGGTATATAAATAGTATCCGTGATGAATAATTATATCTATTTGACACAGTAAAATGGAAGATTAATATTAGAGCCTGTTCATGTAGTAAGTGTTTGCTGTTAATCAAGTGGGTGCAGTTGTTCAATATCTGTTTCAATCAGTAGCTGAAAATAATTGTAGTAGATTTGTAGAATATTAATTTTACTAATGTTCCTGACACTTTAGCCTCTGTGTCATTTTCACTAGGTGAGAGCCCAGCTGGCTCCCGCCGTGCTCAGCTGCGCTGCAGGGAGAGCTTTGCAGGGCTGTTGCAATTCTGCACCTCAAAGCAAGGCCAGCAGTTGTGGCACACGGGGGGCAGCAGCCGGTGAAGTACCGTGTCCCCCATTGCACTTTGGTTTGCCCGGTGTCTTGGGTGTGCCAGCACCTCTGGGAGAGCCAGGACCGGCACAACTACCAGCATATTCTCAAACACGCACACATGCAGACTGATTTATGAGAGACAAAATTTGACGCTACATTAGCACATAAAAGCTTCCAATAAACTTATCAGAAGTGAGGTTTGTCTGGCGCAAAAAAAAAAAGTGGTTCAGAGGTATGTTCCTCTATTCAAAGTCCTGGCTGTCATCCACAAAACAGGTTCTGATCTTCAAAGATGGATTTCTTTCCCCATGCTATCCTTGGGTTTGGTACCTCAAATGACGATAACAGTTGCTAGTGAAAGGTGCAAGGTATGAAATGGGCACTGGATCCAGAGTTTAACTGAATGTTATGGCTGGAGTGTTTTTCCAGGGCAAGTCCCAGGTGTGGGATCTGCTATTTAACAGTGTGAGACCCGGCTCTTTTTCATCTTTCTAAAAGTAAAATAAAAGAAATCTGTTACTACATCGAAGCTGCTAAACTTTTTTCTAGAAGCTGTATTCCCCTTTCCTCCACCCTTTCCTTTACCAGGCTGTAATGCTATATCTTCCTTTCATATCTCTCACTCTCCTCTGCTCAAACCAGGCCCCCAGTTTCATCCCTCCTATCCCTGCTGTGGACCCCTTCACCACTTTGTGCTCCTGTGGCTCCAGCCTGTCTCACCATGGCATCTCTAGCACCTAACCTGTGCCAGCCGCGAGTTCTTAGAGCCCTCAGAAACCAGGCAGATCCAAATACTATGTGTACGCTCCTTTCGCCTGCCTTCTTCCATGATTTGTGCTGCTTTCTGTATTGTAAAATCTCTAATAGCTGGTCATGAGTTTCACCAGGGTGATGTCCCTCTTCTCTCTCCCAGTCAGCTGTACCAAGCAGACCTAGGCCCTGGTGGGGAAGGACAGTGCTTGGTGGGGACACAGGACAAGCTTGTGCATCTGTAGCGTACTGTGGTGCTCTGTGTTAATTACAGAAGCTGGAGCCTGCTCCCGTGGTCCCTCCACCAAGTCGGGAAGCAGCTGAGAAGCTCAGGGAGCAGGACAAGGGGTACACCCCAGCTGCACTAGCAAGCTGTCTGCCTGGCCGCCGGGGTCGCAGGGGCTCTGCAGAGCCTCAGCCTCTGGTCTCCGGCTGCCCCAGCGCCTGGTGGGGTCAGACAACGCGTGTGTGAGGAGGAGGAGGTAGACACAGTCATCAGCCCATTTGTGCAGCCTAGACAACAGTGTGGGGGCTGTTTGCTAAGGGCTATGCTCAGCTTTGCTGAAATACAGGGCGTGTGCAGTTTTACAGGAGTGTATGCTGGAAGGAGTGAGAGAGACTGCTTGGACTGATTGTTTGGATTCCTGCTTCCAAAATCACGTAGTGCTCAGACACCAAGGTGACGCCTTGCCTTTTAAAGATCACAAGTGGTTAGCCACGTGATTAAATTCAGGTTTTCATGGGGACTGCAGGTTTGCTGTGGCAGTCTTTTCTTACTGCAGCACATTGCTCATTACACAAAATACAACATCTTCACCTCCTACATACAGCAATTCTATTTTCTGCTTTCTTTCATACAGCAAAACAAATCAGCAACAACATTATAGATGCTATTAGCTTTCAGGAACATTATACCAAAGCTAAAAATGAAAAAAAAGCAATCTCTGAGCTTACTGCCTCGCTGGGTAATGATTGGCTTCCATTATAGAAAGTCTGACATCTTCGTTTTTACCAAAGTAGGGACCAGTTCTGCCCTCAGATCTGCTCTCTGTCTCCCTCTCATCTAGACAGTTGTGTATGATAAAAGCTATTAAAAAAGCCCCTTGCGATGGGATTCATCCCATAGCAATCTTCGATCCTTTGGAAACAGCAACTCTTCAGAGCTGTGGTTCCACAGCTGTGATACCCAAAGAGGGATGTCATCCCAGGATGATACCCGAGCAGGCCGGGCTCAGGATCCTACACCACTCCCCACCAGTGAAGGCCCAGCTTCTGGCAGACGGTGCTGAACATGACAAAGATGTCTCATATCCACTAAACTTAATAACAGGATTGCTTAATAACAGAGTTGCTTAATAACAGAAGTGTGGAAAAAGTTTGGCAACTCTAGAGAATGGATGTAAGAGTTTTGTATTTTAAGAGGTTTTGAGACTAAAATGCAAAAGCATCTGTAATATTCTCAAAATATTTGGATTCCAGATGGCTGTACCAAGTACAAAATGGTTAGAACTAAATGCTCAGCAATACTATTTTCATGTAAATATCCATTCAGCCACTCTGTACAAAACACACGGCAGAACCAGTGAACCAGAACATGCTCCTAATATGCCCAGGAGAGAGTGTGGTCGACGTTTTCAGAAAGCAATTATGCAGACGTGGAAACAAACCCCCGGAGCACATAAACCCATTTCCCTCCCAGTTAGCCACTTCTTAGTCAAAGCCTTAATATAGTTCTGCAGCCAGAATATTTTCTCCCCTGGCAAATGCTGAGAGACATGTTGAAGTGGGCCCTGGAGGGAACGTTGCTTCACAGGTAAAAATGGAGAGAATAAGAGTTAATCTGAAGAGTTTCTGTGCAGTTTGTCCAGTGCATTTTTAATTGTATTAGCAGGTGTGCTTGGGGAGGAGGGATACAAAGCAATTTCTTTGGTTCTATCACACCTGTGGAGTTATGGCTGATGCTGGGAGCTGGTTCTGTGGTGCCTGCTGCAGCCTAGTTAATCAAGTACCTTAACTGATTTCACCTGGTCTGAAGTGAATCACACTTGGAGCTGTGTCCTTCTCTCCCACTTACACTGAGTATAAACCAGGTCCCAGCAGTTGGTGGTGGGCTGTGTTTTCAAGCTACTGCCAAGTAATAGAGGAGGGACACTGAGTTAGTCTGAGAGCATCCTGGAGAGGTGAGTTGAACCCTTGTAAATTAAGGGACTGAACTAAAAACACCAGAGAGGCAGCAGGCTCCTCTGCAGCCTGGCTGGAATGGGAGGTGATGGGAATCAGAAAAGGTCCCTGTATCTGCGCTCCAGCTGTGCTGTAAGTAAGCAAAGGGCTGAATTTTAACTGAACAAGGGGGATATACATAGGAAAGTAAAGATGATGAAGAAGCTAAAATACTTTTAATACTCCTGAATCCTCAATTTTCAAAAGTAGTGCAGCCTCTGCAGCCTAAAGACAGGCTTTAAGGAGTCAGCAATGCTGCTGGAAATGTGGGCATCCCTCCAGCTGCTAGCAGTTGCTCAGGCTTGTGGGAGGTGGGCTAAGCCAAGGGACAGGCATGCTCTCAGTCTGCTACAGTATGAGATAGCTGGGTTGTGAAAATTGTTGTAGGAATATGCTGGTTTAATGATTTGTGTGACCCAATTTGAATGCATCTGTGTATTTTAACCTAGTGACATACCTGCCCCTGAGCCTGCAGAGCCTGGTAATGCTAATGAGAAGAAATGAGGCAGCTGTATTGTACAGCTCTTACAGAGAGTTAAATGAGCAATTCAGGATATCTGAACAGTTAATCCAGTGTTGCTGCTGGTATTGATAACTTACTGGGCTGACAGCTTTTCTCATTATAACATGGAATTACCTGTAATATCTCTTTTTCTTGACGTAAATAACCTTTGAGGAAAAAAAGAACGGGGGGTTTTATTAAGCTGTTATGTAAAGCTTTAAGGACAAGAAAAAGCTAGTGCGGATTTGGAAAGGAGAATGTAGAAAAACAAACAACAAAAAAATTCTAGTTGCTTTATTTGCAGCATTGAAGCAAGATGTTTAAAGGTAATGAGCTGCAAACTTGTGTGCTTTATTTGTCCTTTAAGTATCACTTACATGCTATAAGATTGATTAGGAAAGTGAATTGCAGAACTCAGGATTTCAAAATAGCTCTAAAAGCAGGCAGGAAAAAAACATGCACTAAAAGTGTTTCTCCCATAGTATTTCAGTACTGAGCAGCCAGGGAGCTAGCTGTAAGTGTGCTTATTACTCTTGGACAGCTATAGGATCACTGCAGAAGAAACATTCAGTGTTTCCAGTAACTTTAAGCCAAGAAATCCAATAGACCAGATGGAATATATCAGCTTTCAGGGAGGGCCAATTTAAACATGTGTAAGCACCAGGGGCCCAGTGCTCAAACTTTTAACACTTCTAAATTGTTACTATGAACATAAAAGTGTTGCTCATTTCCGTAGTGGAACAGGAGATTACAGACTGATAATTATATGATCCTGGGAGAACCTACCGGTATCCAAGCGTCTGAAGGCCAAAATTTTGGCATGCTGGAAATGGCAGCAACAGCCCTGCACGGAGGGAACATGACTGAATGGAAAAAAGAAAAAGACCATTTTTCCTTTCAGTGCTTTATATGAGCAGCAATCGCACTGCAAAAAAAGCAACATTTGGGAATCTAGCAACTGGAAATTCCTAATGATAATCTCATTTCAGCAGCTGGCTTGTATTTGGCATTTACTTTAATAATAATATATTGTTGCTACATACTGGAGTGTGCCTCTTGATATCTGGCAGAGGTGGTGGTTGGCTGGGGAGCACCTTCTGTAAAGAGAAGAGAGGCAATGCAGAACGAGCACTTAAACTGTTGTCCTTGTCTTGGTCATGCTTTTAGAGACAATATCCAGGGGGAGAGGAACTCGGCTGCAGTTTCCATCAGCTCTGCTGGAGTTTACAAGAAAGGGGCTCACTAAGCTCTTCTCCTGCTAACCCCAGAAGCTGGCTGGGAATTGAACTACACTGCTGTATTCTTCTCCTGTGTCTAAAAACAGTAGCTGGTAATTGATGTCTGGGTAACAGCACTGTCCTGTGGCTGAAACTGGCCCATGGTGTGGAAATCTTCACAAGAGCTCCCTTGATTATATGGCACAGCTGACATGATGCTGTGATTTTGTACCGCTGCCATTTGACATTAAAAATGAGACATTACATTTGGTCATATCCTGAAAACTCACATCCAGCTTGTGAGAGAGGAAACCACTCCCTGACAAAAAGGCTGGGTGAGGATCATCTCCACACACTGTGTCCCTGGGCCACAAACCAAACGGCGGAACCAGGCAGCAACTGCTTTGCTGATGACCCAGCCCTCGGCTCCAGCCTGCCAAGTGTGAGCCTGGCACATGCAAGCAGCAGAGTCACCTCTCTGAAAGTGGCTACTAAAGTTCTTAATTTTTTTTTTTTTTTTTTTTTTAATTCTGATAATATATATCAGAACCGGAATCTAAACCATGCTGCAGCTCAGGCAACTTTGAGGAGTGACTTTCCAGTGTTCAGTTTAAACTTTGCACTTCCCATTTGGTAGCACACAGGGAAGCTCTGCCAAGGCAGCAAACACATCTGGTTAACTTTTGGCAATTGGCAGCGAGTGTAAATGATGCAGAGCTTGCTTACACAGCACCCTGAGGTACACAGAGTACAAACAAGGCTTTGCTCTTATCTGAAAGTGCTCAGATGTTACAGAAATTAGTAAGTCCATCTGCCAGGAGTGATAGTAAAATACAGTGGTGTTTGGGATTTTTAAGCTTTACTGTACAACTAGGAGAGCTTTTTGATAAACTGACCATGGTATCTTATAAACAGGTTTAAAATCTTTTGATGTCAGCTCATTTTGTTTATAGAAAGAGCAAAATACATTAAAAATACTGAACATCCCTACCCCAGAAAATGCTATTTTAACTCTGCCTGATGCTGCTAGACAAAACACTTGTACACTGACAGCAAAGGTTTAACGAGGGAGGTATCTGCAATAGAGTGAGCCATACTAGGCCAAGGCATTGCCTGGGCTGATCTTTAGGAAATGGGGATGCAGGAGGATTGTTTATTACCTGTTGTAATGACCTTTTGATCCTGTTCCTGTAGTTTGAGACAAATACTTATGATTGTATTAGTGAGTTTTCCCTTAAATGTTAGATTTGGTCAAAAAAAAGTCTTTTAGAGTGGAGAGGCATGCTGACATATCCAAAACACTACAGCAGGGTCTTAGGCAAACATTGATATCTCACAAAATCCAGCAGATAGTGCTTTGGTGGCAATAGGGGACATCTTGAATTGGTTAGGATTTTTTTGGCCTTCAACCTGTCAGTCACTTTAATTTATCTTTTTTTTTTTTTTTTTTTTCCAGTATATGCTATATAGTGAATCCTAGGCAGTAACTGTTGAAGAGTTTAACTTCACTCTCTGAAAAATTTTGTATTTAACCTCCTCTGTCTTCTCAACAATTAGCACATTTCTTACACCTTTTAAAGACACTGCATTTAAAAGTAAGGTACCATGGTGACCAGGTAGCAAAAATACCTAATTAAACAAATAATTATTATCTGTATAGGAAAATTATGCTTGTTTTAATGTTTGGCCAGGTAATTTTCACAACAGGACAGTAATGAGTTCTTTGATGTGTGCTAGGGAACTGTTTATTGCTTAGATGGGACAGAGTCTCTTGGGGAGCATCAGACATATAATGAATGATAAACCAATTACCTTGTTAAGGAAAAAAGCCTCATAGGCTTCTTTAAAAGGACTCAACCATCACATACTTCCACACAAAAGTAACAAGTATCTGGAAAAGAAATTATTTTCTTGCCAAAGTATTATTTGCCACTGAGACTCTTGCAAGCCATGAGAAACCTTTCAAGATCTTACAGCTATCCTGTTTCCATCCAGATGCAATTATTGTAGCAACTTCTCTTTGTAGACGATCCGTAGAACTTACTTGCAATGTTACTTTGTGATCAGTTTCCAAACTGGTAGGTTCCGTTTTGAGCAAAAACTTGAAGAGAAAAAAATATAAAATTGCGTGCACTGAATAATAGAAAATCCAGCCTGTGTTATCTAAGCACAGAGGATGCGGCTACACATCCTGGAAGCCAGCAGCCAAAATTGTCTCACTTAAAGCTGCTGCAGCTTTCTGTTTTCAGTACATGCAATCCTTCTTGCTCCAGGAATGTAGTAACAACTCAGTCTCTCCCTTTGACTCTAAAACAAACACCCCCACCCCACAAACCATATAGGCAGAGAAAAGGGAGCCAGGACAGGCAATGTATAACTATATGGCAGGTGCTTTCCACTTGTTGTATCTGTATTTGAGTATCCTCTTGCAGTGGTGCAGAAGCAAATCTCCTGGTTCAACCTCTGGCTATTTTCCTGGTGTAGATGGGGAATTCAGTGTCTGGGGACAGCTATACCCTTTTTCTGATGTCTGCATGCTTGAAAATTGTGACACTTGCAACAGATCTTGAGGGATTTGAGTCAAATTTCATGAACAACTTGGATTCTTGATCAGGATGCATAGGCTTTTCAGTGCATTCTTTCATACCCTCTTCTGGCAGGGTGAGGGAAAGAGGAGTGCTATGGAGGCACTTCTGCATTTGTGGGCTTGGTGCTCAGTATCGCATCTGGTTAACAGGAGGTACAGATTTCCCTGTGCTTCTGTAGCTCTAATGTTTCTATTCGTTCCACAGAAATCTCTTCAGCATGCAGGATCCAGTCGTTCCCAGTAGGAACACTGATATGTTGTTAGTAAAGCGAGGTCTAGCAATATCAGCCCTAAATATTAAACATGCAATATGCATGCTTTAAATAGATAAAGTGCAACTAAGAAACAGGCTATTGGGTACTGGTTCACTGATTTCTTCTCCCACCCCTGCCATTTCTCATCGCCTCAGGAAGAAAATTCTGAGGGTTTATTTTTGTGCCTTGAAGTTGCTTGTTGTTGCAGTACACTGGTCTTTCTCCAGAGATAGAACGTCCTTGCCTTTTACATAGAGTAATTCTATTTTTGACTCTAATACACTAAAGAATGGCATGAAAAATAACCACGTCTATGCTCTAGGGAGGTACAAAATACCATGAGAAAGCAGGCAATTGGACCCCAAGGATAGCTGGTCTGAAGATGCTGTGGAACTCCAAGATGGCATTTCCCTGTAGCTTAATATGAGGCTGAAAGAAAATGGGGGGAAAATATATTTCTGCTAAACCAGGTCAAGGTGAATAGATTTTCAAAAAACCCACAATATGCTGCAACTGCAGAAGGTGTCAAGCTGATGCTGAGCAAGTAGGCTCCCAGCTGCGTGAGGCTGAGCTCTGCCACATCCAGGGGGAGAGGATGGGGCTCGGCAGCTCCTGCACTGCATCCCTGCGGCACTACACCAGTATCTCTGCAGAGCCTATAGTTCTCTTCATCATCCTCCAGCACGCTGTTCAGATACACCCAAAATAGCCCACTGTGTCCCACAGAGGGAGAGTGATTGGAAGCAAAATTGCAATTCATGCTTGTTGTGTGTTTTTTGTCTTGTTTTTTTAAAGAACAAAAAAACCCACTGACAATACTACTTAGCCTTCTTTGCTTGAAATGCTTTGAGCACACTGACACAGTGCAAGTGCTGGACAGGCAGGGGTAAAACTGAACAGTGTGCATGTGTGTAAGTAGGAAGAGGTCAAGGGAAGTGCCGCTGTGGAAGGGAAAGGCAGGCTGTTTAAGCTTGGAATTAATTTAAGTTAACGGTATCTGGTAAATTAGGGAGGTATTTTTTTATGACCATTATGTGCCATTGTCTTACTACCCTGGTATTTGGTTGCTTGACTACTAGGTTTTGAATTAAGAAGATGATGGATAGAAGGGGAATAAAACAATGGCAGAGACCAGGTACATCTGGAAAAACATACTGTGGGTGCCTAAATAAAATACCAGAGGAGCAGTTAATTTTCCCGGTTAACTCTAGCCATGCTTCCAAACTGTTTAAACCAGAGAAGAAAGTCAAATGAGGGGAAGATGAAGAGGACAATAGTGGTAAGAAGTGTCTGACAGCAGTTAACTTCCCTGGGTCAGGAGCAGACACTCTAGACTGATCACAACACATTTAAAACAAGAAAAGGAAGTTTAACTTTATGCATAGACTATTTATTGTCTCATTTTTATCTGTGCTTATGTGCTTTGAGGGAGACAATTAATTAAAAAAATAAAGAACTTTGAAGATGCTGATTAGTGCTTATAAATCAACTACTAGTCACAGGGCTGTGGAAAATGAGGGCTTACAGGTTATAACATGTTTGGATCTGCTCTTTGGTAGTCAGCAAATAGGAATATTTATGGCTGTAATACAGCTGGAACAGAATGATCATGATGCGACTATCACTAAAGAAAACAAAGGATGTCAGACCTGATGCAACATGAGGGCCTGATGGGAGCATAAGGGATTTTAAAGTGCAGCTTATCCTGTGACTGATTAATGTTCTTAACCAAACAAACAAGAAACACCCCCAAAACCAACAAAACAAAAAAACAAACGAAAACTCTTGATCAAGAGGATCTGCAGGTGTGTAAATCAATTACTAAAGAAATACTCTACTGAATTCTCACCTAGTTATAATATTTTGGATGTCACAGAATCATTACTTACACGGTATGTGGGTTCTACCTATGTCTGTGTATTTATAACAGTTTTCATTCCTTCCATGAATTCAGAGGCCTACATTTGTAAAGGCACCTAATATATCACTAAGTGCAAACTTTTAATTCTTAGTCTGAGAATATTTGGGAGGGAAAAACA